TACAAAAAAATAATCTAATTGTAAAACTTTAGAAATATAAATAAAAGAAAAATTAAAATGCTGTGTTTCTGCAAATGCAGAAATTTTCATCTTCATTACATTTAGTTACACTAAGTACTCAGTAGCATCTTCAAACCATTTTTTTTAGTTAGTAAGATCCTGAATGCATCACAATGTCGTGTTCATAATGAAGGGTACCATGATCTGCAGGTAATTCTGTTGATCTCATTGGGTACATCCAGATGAGTGGGAACACGCACTTTGCAGCATGGAGCCAAAATTAGGTACCAGAAAATCCTGGTATCTAAAAAAAAAAAAAAAAAAATGCTTCAAAAAAGTGGGACGGCATACATGAATGCACAGGGTGCCACCTGAAACCAGAGCCTAGCCAGCTAGAAACATACTTCGGCTGCTGGCCAGGCTCCATGTACCTGGATTGCCAACATGAGGCCCCCAGGATCTCAGGTAAAGCTGCTAGGACCAGCCAAGGTGCTGGCCCTAGCCTCCCCTACCCTACCCAGGGCTATTTCCCATGTGCCAGAGCACACATGCAGGGGTGTTCCCTGGGGACATATAACAGAAGCACAACTATGTGCCGCTGCTGTTTGTCCCTGGAGAAATGCACATTCCCGCTCATCTGGACATGCCTATTGAATGCATTCACTGGGTATGCTGCCATCTGGTGAAAGTATGGGATTGCAGAATCTGAACCAAAATGGATTATTTACTCATATTCAAGACTAAGTATTGTCCCCAGTCAGTATCGGGGAAAGAAAGCCTTATCTTGCACTGGCCTGGGGCAGGTAGCCGCTCAGCTCTGGCTTTGGCCTCAGGCTTGGGCCTGAACCTGGAGATGGGTCACCATCTGTCCTGGGCCAGGATGATTCATATGGCAGGGGAGGGGGCACACAGCTGAGGGGACCATAGGATGGACAATTAGTGGGGGGGAAGCCTGCAGTCTGCTCCCCATTTGTCCCCCTCCATGTTTGTGTATGGTCCCATACCCCTTGCTTTTCTCCCACCTAGCTGCATCCTCCCCACCTTACCTTCTGCTCCAGCTCCCATCTCTTCAGCCCTGATCTAGCCCTACTGGGAGCTGCTGCTGCTGCTGCTTCATAGCTGGACTGGGCTGGGCTGGAGCTGGGTCAGGCCACCACTGCTGCTTAGTGCCCTAGAGGAGGAGAGCTGCAGCAGAAGGTAAGAAGGGGAATGGGTAGGGAGTTGCAAGGAGTGCCAGGGTGGTGGGGCAGGCAGTAGGAGGGAGCAGGGGGTGGGGGGCAAATGCAGGGGGGAGCAAAGGACAAGGAGGCAGGCAGAATAGGGAAGCAGGGAGTAGTGAGGTAGGAAGTTGGGGGCAGTACACAGGACAGAGAATGAGAGTTGGGAGGCAGCAGGCAATATGTGGCAAAGGGGCTTATGGCAAGGACAGGCATAGGGGAGACAGGCACAGCACAGGGGTACAGGGGGCAAAGAGCAGCTTTCCCCACCATAGCAGTGAGAGTGGGGGATGAATTTAAGACAACCTTCCACTAATAGATTCTATACCTGGAAAATTATAACTTTATAATTTTTCATGTCTAGTTATTGGAGGGAGAATTGTCTTACATTCAAAGTCATTGTGGGTTTGGGTAAGTGCAGTACATTTGCATTCCTATCTGCTGCCTTTTTCCAACTAATAAGCTATAAAGAGTCTGAGACATCACATTTTTTCTCCAGTATCCCAGTTTATCATGCTAATTACTTTGTTTATTGTATAGTGATGCACACAGTAAATTAAGTATTGATAAACAACATTAACAATTAAAAGGCTTGCAGAGTTGTGGGTCTCATCAGTCAAGTCAGTGATATAATACTGTGGAAAAAACTGTTTTGCAAATATTTTCAGACACTTGACTAAAATGATTTAGTCAGGGATGATGCTGCCTCGAGCAGAGGTTAGACTAGATGATCTCCTGAAATCCCTTCTGGCCCTAGTTTTCTATGGTTCTTGGATTCTGTGACAGTGCTTGAATGACCTGATGTTTAGAAATGCTGAGAATCCAGCGCTGCTTTTGCCTTGTGGGTCAACTCTTCCAAAATATTGGACTCAAATAGCTCATTTCAAGTTTTTTTGCTTTAAATGACAAGCCAAAAATATGAATTGCATTGCATTGGTTGCTGTTCACAGTTCACAATTTTTACTGTTTTATGATAAACAATAGAGATTTAACCCTTTTAAATGAATGACATTCTTAGACTTTCAAATACAAACTGACCAATTTAGCCAAATTTGGTAGAACATAATAGATAGTGAGCATACCCCGGGGTTATTGCCTCAAGTGGATAGTCTTGGTTTCCAGGGCTTATCTAGTTTTTACAGGCCTCGGGTGTATACACATTTTAATCTCAAGACGCAGCCCAGAAGAAGGTGTGAAAAAGGAACTTTGGAAATTTGCATCCTCTGTGAGATTGTGAGCCTGCATCTTGGCATTTTCTGTAGCTGGTCATGTGCAAAATTTCTATCACTGTCCCCTTCTACCTCTTCCCCCATTAAAAATAACTTATTGTCCTTGATTGTGCAAGCCAGGTGAGGAAATATTTGCCACTTATACCAGTAGGAGCCAACCTTTTTGGCAGGTGTTCTACAAATTATTTTTACATCCTCCCCAAGTGTCAGTCCAATCCCCTTCTCCTGCCCAATTTGCTGATCTTTCTACTTCCTACTTTGTGCTCCCTGACCAAGCTGCTGTTCTGCTTTCTATTCCCTGTCCTATCTGCCACTGTGCTGCCTGTCCCGTCCTTGGTCTGCCATGTACTGTGTGCAGAGATTGTTGTACACATGTGCCACAGGTTGGCCATCCCGGACTTGTGCTTTGATCTAACTATTCATGAGTCAGGCTCAATTAGAGGACAAAATAAAATATAAATATTCTCTGGTATACTTTTGGTCGATGGATGCCAGGAGCAGGTCTATGCTTTTTTACTCAAGTTGAAATTCTAGTAGATTAATAATGACATCTTTCAGTTGGAGAACTAGTAGCCCAACACACTCATTGTTTTGTTCCATGGCCTAGTTGATGGATATACTTAAGCTGCTTGCAAATGTGAAAAAACCCAAAACAGTGCTTTACTAGAAGAGGCACCACATTAGTTCAACCTGTTTCTGCAGCATCCATATAGATTGGGTGCTTCAGTGGGGCTTTTATCTGATAGTTGATTCAATCAGCTATCAGATAAAAGCACCAAAAAGCCCCACTGAAGATTCCTATCTATACAGACATTGGTCCAACTAATGCACTTTCCAGGTGTGTACTGCACCCAGCATGGGGGTGGCCAGGCTTCAAATAAAGCACTGCTTTGTTTTGTTTTCATGCCTGCAAGAAGCCTTAGTGTCTAGCAGATGGCCATTCCCATCTTAAATTCTCTCATGTGCACTGTAACTTTTGATTCTGTTCTTTCTCTCTCCTCTCCTCTTAAATAGATCCAAGCATGCTGATAGGGTTATAGGTATAATAACCCCTTTTGTGAAATCACAGTGTTAGGAAGAATCCCAAATGTATTTCTGGCTTTGGTTCTTAACTTAGTAAGTAACATATCATTCAAGAATATATGTCATTAGGGAAGTGCATTTGCTATTGTTGCCAAGGTCAGCATTATTTTTGGAGCAGACTGCTAGAAAAGGAGAGGTATGTGCAAATATCATCCTACCAGAAGGAACACATATTCTGCCTAGAATGTGGGTACTAAAAAGGTAAGATGTTGATTAGTGTAAGTTACTGTGATTTCAACCAATTCCTCTGATATCAGTTAACATGTATTATAACAGTTTTGTTGACAGTAATATTTAACTCTACCCCAAAGTGAACAACAGTTTAGGTGTCTGTGTAAGGATGAAATCTGTGTTCTTTGGCTGTTTATGAACTCATTCCATAAACATAAAATCCAAGATATTTATAAGGCTTCATATGCTACAAAGCTGCAAAGGCAGTTCCAGAAGGAATTCCAGAAGGTACAGTGGAAAGTGTTTAAGTAGTACAAAAGTGGTCAGAACGCTCAGATAATGAGAATTACAAAGAGCATTTTAACTAAAAAAAATGTATTGCTAGTGGCTGGAATATCTAGCAGAATATTTAAAATTATACCTGGACTATGGAGGAAGTTAATTGCAGCATGAAATATTTAAATTTTTAAGTGCAATGAATATTCTGTCTGTTCTTCCATGTTGTTACAATCAAGTACATTTGCCTCCAAATAGGAATAGGATTACCTCCAAATTGGAACAAGACAAAAATAAAAGAAAATATAGTTACATTTTAAACCTAAAGTTCAAATTGCTTTAAGACTAAGTGTTTTTTGGGGGTTTTTTTTAAGTT